GATCAGTAGGGGGAGCAAATCAAACCATTCATAATCTGGGGCCTCTGGGTGGTTCAGTTGGTTAAGTGTCCAACTCTTGATTTTGGCTCAGGTCATGATCTCCCAGTTTGTGAGTTCGAGCCCCATGTCGGGCTCTGGGCGGAGAGCGTGGAGCCTGCCTGGGATTCTCTCTCTGTCTCCTCTCTCTGCCGCTACCCTGCTTGCATTCTCTCTCTCTCATAATAAATAAACTAAAAAAAATGAACAAACCACCCATAATCCAACTCAGAGGGAGATACAGATGGAATTTTTGAGGCACAAGCACTCTGTTGAAGTAACTAATGAATAAATGAATGAATGGCAACAACTTCAGAGGAAAGGAAGCCATGAAGGATGATTAACATGCGAGAGGACGGATCCATATTCCAGTAATTCTGACATGCTGGCCTTAGGGGCCAAAGTCAATGGGAATATGTAATCAGGATCCAGATCAAAGCCCTAAATTTAGGGCTGGATGACAGAAAGGGAGAGACCTGATAAACCACACTTACAAAACAGTTCTCAAACTTTTTACGCTCAGGCTCCTCTATGTCCTCAATAATTACTGAGGACCCCACAGCTTTTGTGCATCGGTGTTTATTGTTGTAGAAAAATGATAAACCTATTATATATTAACATGTTTTATGAAAAATAACTTTTTTTTTTTTAAATTAGAGACGACTGGCATTGCTTTACATTTTTGAAAACCTCTTGCAGGCAAGCTGCCTCTACACTTGGCCTGCTGAACTGCTGTGTTGGTTCAAGTCCAGGAAGAAAATCCAGCCTCCCACAGCTGTGTATTTGGAAGACAGAGGCATTTTTAATTTTTGTTCAGATATTCGTCTTGATACGACACCAAAACTTGACAAGCGGTCGTTTCTTAAAAGTTCATTGCACTGTAGGCATCGAATCCGTATCCATGGACATTTTGTAGACGGTTACATTAACACCCACTGGCCTGTGACGGGAAGCTCAATTTTGGCCACTGGTAACCAACCAATTCTGTCGGCTATTGTCCTTGAAATGACCGGCTTACCTCATCGATTTTCGAGAACATGTCTTCCAAAAAACGAAGTCTGAAAACTCAGTTTATCAGTCACCATTCCAACAACAACAACAGAAAATGGGTGTTCCATGAATAAAGCACTTCTTTTCGCTCGCACCTGGAACAACCGTGTGCTTTTCCTCCAGACGACCGTCATCCTTACGTGTGCAGTACGAGTGCCTTACATGTGCTTTTCATCTCACCACACAGAATGTTTTCGTAAGTGTCCTCAAGGGTTGAGATTGAACAAAATTGATCATTTTTGCTGTTTCATCAGGGACATTCATGAGGAAGCTGGCGGTGATGGTCCCGATCGTGACTGCTGCTTACGCCCCAGCAGTTTTACCCATCACCATCTGTGCAAATGTTCACAGAGTGCAAAAGACAAAGTCTTAGTATTATTATGAAAGTAGTTTTGATTTTGAGAATGCCCTGGAAGGGTTTAGGGGATTCCCAGGAATCCATGGACCATACTTAAACATCACTGCTCTAGATGTAACCTGAATGACGCAGAATATAAGAGGATTTTCACCTCCCTTCTTCTTGATCCTATGTCTTTCTTAATTTGGCCTGAGATTGCATTCGCTTTTCAAGGAGCCAGTGTCATCTGGTTTGCATTCAGCTGTTAACATGAAATAAATCTTGAAAGATGTGATGCGAGTAGGAGCAGGGAATATCTTCATAGAAATAATGCCTGAGTTCAGTCTTGATAGACAAAAGATGTTTTTCAGGTGAATAAGGTGAGACAGGAAGGGCACTTCAGGCAGGAGGAGAACATGGGTAAACACGCGTGGAATGAAAAGTCTGGAGTGCTGGGAAAGCAAGGGATTTATCTGCAAGGCACAAGGGTGCCTGAGAACGTCAAGGACAGGGCAGGAGGGAGGTCAGCACTGGGGGGTGGGAAACCCACATCAATTTGGGAACCGCAGTATTGAGACTGGTGACGACAGGTGCCTGCTTTGGGGGTGCCTGGGTGGCTCAGCTGGTTAAGTGTCTGGCTCGTGAGTTTGGCTCATGTCATGATCTCACAGTTCATGAGTTCGAGCCCCACATCGGGCTCTGCACTGTCAGCACGGAGCGTGCTTGGGATTCTCTCTTCCCCACACCCCTACTTGTGTGCTCTGTTTCTTTCTCTCTCAAAATAAATAAACTTAAAAAAAAAAAAAAAAAAGAGGCGCCTGCTTTGGGTTAGCAGCTGAAATTGACAGGCACAGGGTCTGGCGGGATCACCCAATCCCAAGGGTCTGAGCCGTAGTCAGCCTCAGGGATCTAACGAAACTCCTCATGTGCACTCATTGCTCAAAGCCCAAAGAGAATGAGGTACCTCCCCAGACGCCAGTGGGAAGAGACCCATGGTACTGGCAGGAAGAGCAGTTAGGAGGTGGAGAAGGTAGCTCTTAACCTCTTACGGCCTGATTCTTGAACTTCTGGTCTTTCCCTTGAACTACAGTCACCCAAGGTCATTGCCTCAACCCAGTCTTTCAACAAAGGGAGTTTGCTTTGTTTGCCCTGCATGCTCATGTTAATCCCCACCCCCTAGGGAAGCAAGATGGGCAGAGGGACAGCTTCGTGTCAGGAAGCTGGGAGGAAGTTTGGGTCTCAATCCTTGACGATATTTGCTTCTCGAGAAATCTTTGCTCTGCCTCATTCCGGGAGGATGTCCGTGGGAGGCACCCGCGGCTGCCTGAAACAGTCAGTGGCAGTGAGTGTTCCCACCTCCACATCGGGTCCTGAGCACCAGGGACAGGCGTCCCCACCCATCCCGCACACACAGCCAGAACTCGGCCGAGAAGTAATCACCACCTCCCAGCCTCCGCCATTATTAGGAAGCAATAACAATCTAAGCGTAAGAGACCTCCGTTTGCCCAGTATTATCATTCTTTCATTCAACAAATGTGTGTCACTTACCACCTGGGCAGCAGGCATAGAGCTGGCAGGGAGGATTCTGCCACAGCCCGGTGCGTGGTCCCTGCCCTCAAGGGGTTGACTCTCTGGTAGGGAGACAATTCCGCAAAGAGGTGATGACAGAACTCTTTCTTGGGTCCATGATGTCTCAACCGCACGATACAGCATGAGAGTTCCTGAGCAAGGGGCGCTGTTTCATGCCTTTGCTTCAACTGCCTCTGCCTGGGATGCCCCTCCCCCCACCCCTCCCCCACACAAGCAAGGACCTACATCCCTCTTCTCCGCCAGGGGCGTTCCTGTCTGTAGTAGACCCCAACTGGAAGAGGGGAGAAGCAGCAACCTTAAGTTCTCCAAATCTTATCTTTACCTTCAACTGGACCTTTCAATTAATGAAATGACACTGTTTTAGGATTTAGAAGTAACCACAGCTTTGGGTGTAACCTGAGACTGGCCCCCCAAATTTGAGGTCTGGGCCAGTTTTCATCCAGAGACAGGGGAAGCATGGAAACCTCTAGAAAAAAAAATTTACAAGGAAATAATGGGGGGGGGTGGAATATTATGAGAACATTCTAGAAGCCACATTTAACCTCAACCTCTCGGTGAGCTCTATCTGTCCAGATCTTGGACTGTGCCTTCCTGTCTAGCACAGGGCCGGGCAGAAAGCAGGTGCTCCGTTAAGATGGGGGTGGGCACAGGGGAGGGAAATGAAACCAGACAGGGCAGGGCAGGCTCGGTAGGAGGGAGGGACTGCTGCTGGCAAAGTTGCCACAGGCATCGGCTCCCAGATGTGACCGTGTCTCTCTGGTGGCCACAGCAGTGGCCTTTCATTGCTCACATAAAGACCTCGGAACTTCCTAATATAAATGCACTCCAGTCAGGCCGCGTAAGTGCCAACGGGCATCAGCCCAGGGGCGGACAGCAGGTGCCAGGCGCCCACCCGCTGGTGCTGTGGACACAGGGAGCCGTGCAGACCCACCTACGAGAAGGGTCGTGATTGTGATCTTGATCTTGACCATGACCGTGATCTTCTCCAAAGATGGGAGGAGGTGGCCACGTGACCGCCCGCCCACCTGCACGCACAGAATGTGAGGACATCAGGGAGGGGACTTGCCCGGTCACAGCATTATGGAGCGACCCAGCTCGGACCTAACTCTGACCTGGTTGGCTCTGGAGCTCACACTACCTGAGCCTCTGGGACAACAAGCCTTCATCTCCTTCAGCCTTCTGCTTGGAGGCCGCCCCGCACACCTGCGGTATATGCATCTGAGAGCCGGCGCCCTGGGTAATTTAAGGCCTATCCAACAGCCGGGTCCACGCAGGGGTCCCAGGGGTGGGAGTCTGAGGGCAGAAGGCGGGCAGGCTGACAAGAGGCTCTCCCAGGCTGCGCGTGGCACCCCCACTCCCGACTCTGCGCTGCCTCCCTGCCCTGCCACGTGTACCCCATCTTGTGTCTCGTTTCCTCCACCTGCACTTCCAGGGGGAGTGCCCTCAGTCGGCCTTGCTCAGCCGGTGGAAAGCGGCCACCCCCTCGTTAGCCGACTCATCCCCCTCACAGGCCGGCCCCTGGCCAGAGCTGGGCACCCACTATGTGCCACCTGGGGGAGTCGGCACAACTGGACCAAGCACCAGCTAGTGAACTGAGGGCCACGGACCACTGCCACGGAGACGGTCAAGGGCAAGGGACACTCGGCCTCTCCCACAGCCTGGTCAGGCTTCACTCACGCAGCTCCTGCTGCCGAAAGGCCTGGGATACAACCAACCTGCCTCCTGTGATTAACACACACCCCTGCTGACCAAGGATTTCAGAAGGGCTCAACCACGGGGCGGGGGGGGGGGTGGCTGGTACGGGCAGGGGGGTGGCTAACTGTTGTCTGGCGGTGGGGACCAGCGTCTGGTCATCTGAAGAACAATCCCTCCTGGGCAGCTTCCTGTAGGCCTGTCTCTGCGTCCTCAATACTTCGGATGACAGCACACAGTAGGGAACAGCGTGCACTCAGGGAATGAACCAACATAGCATTCAGGACACCAGAGCTTTCAAAAACTGATACATTTATTTCACCATTCGCTGCTCAGCCAAGCGCATACTCACATATCTGTCGCTTTAAGACGTGTAACGCGGTGCAGGGTCACAAACGTGCTAGCTCGTCCCTCTGCTGAGTCCTTGGGGGATACTCAGGTCCCAGCGTGGCCTCCCTGCTCTGGCCTGTCCTCTCTGTCCTTCCCACCTGCCTGCCCTCCCTCCGCTGTCCCCCTTTCCCTCCCAAACCTGTGGTGTTTCGGAGATTCAGACATACTGGGCTTCGTCGCTCGGTGACCTTGAAAGGGGGCTCAACACTGGGTGTTACGTGGAAGCTAATTTGACAATAAACTATTTGAAAAAAAAAAAAAGAGACCAGTAAAAAAAAAAAAAAAAGAAAAGAAAGAGGGCTCAACCCATGCTCCCACCTCCCCACCTGCGAGGCAAGGCCCCGTGACCGTGGTAACGAGCCACGGCCACGCAGCCAGCTCCCCGGGCCGGCTCCTGCGTGAAGCACTTGGCGCGCGTCAGAGCTCAGCACTCCGCGCGGCGGCCCTGGCAGGCGGGTGTGGGCGTTCCTCCCCTGGAGATGGGGAAACCGAGGCCCCACCGGGCCAGGTGTGTTACCCAAGAGCAACTTCTGTGGAACGGGGACGCGACCCGGCCTGTCTCTTCACGGATTTCAGGCTCACCGTCACCCACAGGAATGCTCCCTCGCCACCCCCCTGCCGTCCTCCCAGCCTCCATTCTTCCTTCCAAGGTGGGGGCAAAGCAGGGCAGGGCCTTCGGGACAGGTGGCAGCTGCACAGAAGCCTGCAGCTTCGGCGCGTGCCGTTCTTCCCGGCTCCGGGCGGCCTGCGCTTCACCACCCCAGGGACGCCAGGGCAAGGACGGGGACTTACGCGGGGACAGGGCCAGGAGGAGCGGCGGCTTGGCGGACTGCTAGGCACGGCGGGGCCGTGAGGGTTCAGGGACAACAAGCAGGCCAGGCCAGGCCCGCAGACGACCAAGGCCCGTGCAGGACGTGGGAGCCAGAGGGACGTATGAGCACGGCGGGGGCAGGGGAAGGCGCGGCGGGCCCGCGTTCGGCGCTTTAGACCCATCGCATTTCGTCCCGACAGAGGAGAAGTCTGGGCTCAAGGGCAGCGCCCTTGACCAGCCGCAGACCCGACGGCTGTAAAACCCACGCTCTGTCTGTCCTCTGCATGTCTGCCATCGGGGGGCGGGGGGACGCCCCCTCTGAGTCTCCAAGGACAACATCCAGAATAAATGAATGAATCACTCTCAGAGCAAAGGGACCGAGCCCATTCTCCCCAGATCTCACACCGCAGCCGGCCGGAAAAGCAAGCAGAAAGGATGCCGGGGACACAGGCGTGGCAGGAAGAGCCACCTGAGCAAATGTCAGCCTCTCCCACCCCTCATTTCCTGCGCTCAGACAACGAGGCCAGTGGAGAGTTCAAAACTGCCGCCGCGGCTTCGTCCCGGGAGAAGAAGGTCTCTCAGTGTCAATGTCTTCAGGACAGCTTTGCTCTTCAGGCCCCAGAGCCTCAGTTTTGTTGTTTATACTGTGAGGCAGAGAGAGCATTAGAAGTGGGTGAGGGAGGAGCCGGGAAATCCTGAGAATCATCTGGGCCTTAGCTGCCTCCTGCAGGGGGCTTCTCGGAGGAGGTGGCGCTACAGGCACCAGACAGTGAAATCTCTAGTGGGTGCCTGGACCCCCTTTCTTTAATGGAAAAAGAGGCTGGCAGGGTAGGAGGGGGCGCATAAGACAGACACTGGAACATTACCAGTGAATGTATGGCATGTCCATCCTATCCTTGAAGCTGAGGCTTGTTCAAAGGAAAAAGATTTCTCAGTCGGTTTAGCATCCGACTTTGGCTCAGGTCATGATCTCGCGGTTGGGGAGTTTGAGCCCCGCATCGGGCTCACTGCTGTCAGCACAGAGCCCGCCTCAGATCCTCTGTTCCCCTCTCATTCTGCCCCTTCCCAGCTCATGCTCTCTCTCAAAAATAAATAAACATTTAAAAAAAATAATCTGAGGGGGAGCCTAGGTGGCTCAGTCAGTTAAGCGTCCAACCTGGGCTCAGGTCATGATCTCATGATTGTGGGGGTTTGAGCCCCGCATCGGGCTCTGTGCTGACAGTTCGGAGCCTGGAGCCTGCTTTGGACTCTGCATCTCCCCCTGTCTCTGCCCCTCCGCAACTCTCACTCTGTCTCTGTCTCAAAAATAAACAAACATTTTTAAAAAAGTGTTTGGTTGTTTTTTTTTTTTTAAATCTCAGAGAGAGAAGGACCTTCAGAAGCCATCTAGTCCAAACCGGCTGCCTTTCCTTGCAGAAAACAGATGCAACCAGAAAGGCATCGCCGGTCATCCCCTCTGGGCTTCTAGAAGAGGGCAGCGGCTCAGCTACGGGGCAAGGGCGACCCCTGGTGGTCACAGAGATTACAGCCAGCAACCCGCTAGCTGACAGGTGGAGCCAGGGGGCCTAGCCCTTACTTTGTTCATGACCCAGTCGGCATCTTCAATGGCTCTTTTAATAATCTGCTGGATTCTCTCAGGATTGTCTTCATCCGAATGCACCCGGAAACTCTGGAAGTTGAAGCACAAGAGAAGATGACAAGGCAAAATGCATGGGGCCAGCAGCTTGGGAGCACAGGCCAGATGCACCACGGCCCCTTTCTACTCAGCCTCGCTCGTACCCCTCCACAGGCACGCATGATGTGGCAACAGAGGCCCAGATGCCCCAACTCACCCCTATGGATGGCGCCAGCTACACAGCCTGTCCTCCAGCCAGCAAAGCAGTTACAAAATGAAGCCTGGCCCTCCATACCCCAAATTAAGCTGGCCCCAAAGGTGATCATGCAGCAGGGGCCCAAAGGAAACTTCCGTCCCTCGGTTTCATGTGCTCCTCCCAGAAGGCTGCTTTCCCAGGCTCTACAACAGCCAGGCTTCCCCTGGCCCGAACCGCAAGGCCAGGAAGAGGGGAGGGCAGTGGAGAGGGGGACCGGAAGATCCAGCCGGGCCCGAAGCACAGCAAGGCAGGGCTGCTGGTCGCTTCTGGCCACGTGTTCACCCCTGAGAAGGAACCGGAGATTCAGGTTCACGGGTGCGGAGCTCTGGGCCCCTCACAAAGAACCGGCACCTCCTCTGCCGGCTGCTCTTGACCCCGCACATCCTCCAATTTGTCTCCAGGAACATCTGAAATGCTCACCCAGGGAAGTCCTCCGGGACGCCCCCGGACAGCCAGCTGCGCCCTCCTCCACCTTTCCACAGCCTGTCTGTTGCTGCCTCTATTTTTTCTACACGTTCCACGTTCTATTTGTGTTCCATTTAGTTTTGAACTTTTTAGGTAGAAGTCGTTTCTAACCCACAGAAAAGCTGCAAGCATACAAATGAAATCTGTACAGGGATCACCAAGTGTGAACATCTCCCCACATTCGCTTTACCGTGCTCTCTGCATACGGGTTTCTCCTCCAATCGGGGGGAGCTTTTAAAAGTTGCAGACAGGGGCGCCTGCATGGCTCAATCGGTTAAGATCCCGACTTCGGCTCAGGTCACGATCTCACGGTTTGTGGGTTCGAGCCCCGCGTCGGGCTCTGTGCTGACAGCTAGCTCAGAGCCTGGAGCCTGCTTTGGATTCTGTCTCCCTCTCTCTCTCTGCCCTTCCCCTGCTTGTGCTCTGTCTCTCTCTCTCAAAAATAAATAAACATAAAAAAAACTAATAATAAAATGAAGAAAAGTTGCAGACATCATGCCTGGAGCCCCTACACGCTTCGGTGTGTTTTAACAGGGAGGCTCTCTCTTACATAACCACGGCAGTCAAATTTAAAAAAATTCAACACTGCTATAATACTATCCCATCTGCAGTCCATATTCCAATCTCATGAATTCCTCCAATAACGTCCTTTTGAATCATTGTTTTTTTGTTTTTTGTTTTTTCTGGTCCAGAATCCAATCCACTCATCACATTTAGTGGTCACGTCTCTTTCATCCCCTAGAAAGCACAGCCCTTCGGGCTTTCTTTCGTTTCTTGACCTTGACATGACGGTTGGGTGCGCAGAGGCCAGCAGTGTGCGAGATGGTCCCTCCGCTTAGAGTTACCTGACGTTTTCTTGCTGGTAAAGTCAGGCCGTGCATTATTGGCAGGAATGCCTGTCAACGTGATGTTATGTCCCACACTCTATTTTAAGTATGCATCTGAGCTGCCTTATTGGAGCCCTGGTACAGAGCCGATGTGCTGGATGGTACATCTGTCTTCTGAGCGGGAATCAGACACAGGGGCTGGACTGTGGCTTTTGGTGGCTCTCTTACCAGACTGCCGCCCCTCCCCCTCACCACCCCTCGAAAGACCATCCCTGCCCCCTGCTCCCTGTCCCTGGCGCCCAACCCTGAGATGGGGCCCCTGTGATGGGAACCACCCCCCCATCCCAAGGCCAGTACACATGCTCCCACCTGCCTGACCGCGTGTTTGTAGTGCTCCTGGATGCCCTTGGTGGGCAGCTCCCGGCAGCAGCGCAGCAGGTATCGGTAGAGCTGCAGCGGCCTCTGGACCAGCTCTGCCCCCGGCAGCGGGGCCATCGCAAGCCCTTCTGTCCCTGGAAAACACAGAGCATCAACCAACACTTGGCCCCGACCCCCACGTTCCACGGCTCTGTGAAGCACAGCTGGACACGACGTGGAGGCCGGGTCCCCTTCGTGCCACCAGCCCCCAGAGCCCGGACCCCGAGCTCGGGCTGGGCATTCTGTCCTGCAGGAAGTGCCCTCCTGGAGCAGCCCTGTGAGGACCAAAGGCGAGACGCACAGCCTCATCCTGGGGCCTTCTTTCTGGAAGTCAACTTGGGCTGGTGGGGGAGGAGGTGTCACCGTCAGGCAGAGTAGGGGGGACGCACAGGGGGACCCTGCACTGCAAGACGGAGAAACGAGCTGAGTACACGCACCAGAGGGGAGAACGCCCAGGGGTCTGAGCCTCGCCACTCCAAGCGTGGTCCTGGACCAGTAGCATCAACGTCACCCGAGAGCTTGTTGGAAACAGACCCTCGGCCCAGACCTGCTAGAGATCCTACATTTTAACAAGATGCCCCGTAGGCTCCCGCCTGCACCTCTACTGCAGCATCTTGCCTGGCGCCCCTGCCTTCAGCCTGTCCCTCTCCAGTCGCCTCTGCACTGACACCGGAATGCACTCTGGAAGCCCTAAGCCTCCCGCCAGTCTGCCTAGCTGCACTTACGCCCCCCAAAACAGAGGGGGGACCCCGTACAATGGGGGCAAAGACCTTCGAGGGCCACCGCAGAGGACGCAACGCCGAAGTCCCCACCGGCTGGGCAGACTCCACTGGCTGGCTTCCCCAAACTATATAAAGTGCTAATCAAATATTGTAAAATGCTAGTCGTGGAACAGATGGTCGCCATCTGCAGCCTTCAAAATTAACATTTGGAGAGAGCACAACTTTGTTTCAGTCGTTGAAAACCCAGGCAATACTTAGAAACCAACCCAGCAAGTATGGGCGGGAGATTATTTTCAGCTCAATTATAATACTTAGTCATTCTCAGTAATAAGTAGCAGGGAGTGCATGTGTGGGTCCACTCAGAAGAGTTCAACTAAAAATGTTTTAATTTAATTTAAAGTGTGGGTTTGCTATTAAGAGGCAATGAACTTCACGGCGTCACCGCTAAAACTCCAGTCAAACGCTGGGCCCCTAAACAATCACTCGGCATATCCTGCTCTTTGCTCTTGACCTCGGCCTCTCCGAGGCTCGCTGCCTCTGTGAAGGCACCTCTGTCTTCCCAGGCAACCGAACCAAAACCAGCACCGAGCCAACCTAGCCTCCTCTCCCGGCCTCAACCCCATGCCGCGGTCTCTAGGTCCTATCCAACTGCACCTCTGAATGCCCCCTCCGATCTGCTCCCTCCTCTCTGTTCCCACCGCACAATCAGCACTTCAGACTCGTATCGGAGCTCTGTGGACAGCTGCCAGATTCCCAGCAAGCCTCCCTTTCTTCCAGTCTATTCACCACTTAACAGCCAGTGAATCCTTCCAAGACATAAATCTCAGCATGGCGCGTTCCTGCCTAAAAGCTCTGATGTCCACCCCTACCCCTGCCGCTCATGATGACTTTCCCAAAATGTATGATGAATGTGAAATTATTTTAAGCAGTGACAGACACCTTGATGTCCGCTCAGGTCATGATCTCACTGCTTGGGAGATGGGGCTCCACACTCTGGGCTCTGTGCTGTGGGCGAGAAGCCTGCTTGGGATTCTCTCGCGCACGGTCTCTCTCTGACCCTCTCTTTCTCTCAAACTAGATAATAATTTTTAACAAAAATCATGAAAGTGGTACTGAAGTTTAGAAAGCACTGGCCTATGGAACAAAATCCATACTCCTTCCTGGAACCTCTAAGGCGTCTTTTGATCTGGCCCCTGCCCAGCCCCCATCACATCTTCTATCACTCACTGCAGAGTCCAGGCAAACTGAGCTCCGGAGGGCACATTCCACAACAGTCTATGTCATGTTCACGGGTTCCGGTCTTTGCACCGTGACAGAATGCCTGGCATTTGGTAGAAGTGTTAGGGCTCTCCAGAGACCCAGAACCAATAGAATAGAGAGAGAAATATATCCATACATATCCATATATGTATATTATTTATAAGGAATTGGCTCACATGATTAGTGATTGTCCCAAGTTGATGGCCATCAGCCTGGAGAATCCTCTCTTACTCAGGGGAGGGTCAATCTATTGTTCTACTCAGGACTTCAAGTGCTTGGAAGAGGCCCACCCACATTAGGGAGGCCAATCTGCTTTACTCAGTCTGGTGATTTAAAAGTTAATCTCATCCAAAGACACCCTGGCCAACACACCCAGAATAATGTTTGGCCAAATATCTGGGTGCCCCAGGGCCCAGTCAAGTTGACGCATAAGCATAACCACAAAGGTAGATGTCCCCATATTCATGTGTTGAGTGAATTCTACTCTTGCGTACAATCTGCCCGCACCGTAGGTCTCCGGACCCTTTGGATCCTTAAACACTCAGCTCTACGTTTTGGCGCCTCCCCCAGAAGCCTTCATTGACCCAGCATCTTGCTACCATGTTCAAAGGGGGCCTGTGGATACCTCAAACAGCCCTCATCACCCCACATCACTCTAGCTCAGTCTTCCTCATCTGTCACCTGAATTGCTGGAAGGGTGTTCACCTGCCCTCGGCGCGCTTCCAGCCACCCTCCACATGGCGGCCACAGTGCCTTGTCTAACGCCCACCTTAAAATCCTCCCACAGCAGGACACATGATGATTATTACGGAAGATTAATTTTCCTAAAGGTACGACGGCAATGTGTTGTGTGGGAGAACGTCCTCATTCTCAGGAGGTGCAAGTGGAAGGAAGTACTCAGACCTGCATTGTCACATCTGCAATGTCCATTCAAACGGTCCATGGAAGACAACACAAAATGAGGAAAGGCAGGGTGAGAAAGAAAAAGTGAATGTGGAAAATGTTAAGATTGCGTGTAGGTGGCAGGAATAGGGGCAGACGTTACTGTAACTTCGACTTCCACATAGTTTGAAAGTTTTTGTAACAAAACATTATTTTAGAAAAACTCTGAGGCGCCTGGGTGGCTCAGTCGGTTAAGCGTCCGACTCTGGCTCGGGTCACGATCTCACGGTTCGCGGGTTCGAGCCCCGCGTCAGGCTCTGTGCTGACAGCGCAGAACCTGGAGCTTGCTTCAGATTCAGTATCTGCTTCTCTCTCTGACCCTCCCCTGCTCACTCTCTCTCTCAGAAATAAATTTAAAAAACATTTTAAAAAAAAACCCCTCTTCCACAGCTTTCCCATGACCTACGGGATAAAGTCTTAAGCTCGTTAGGCTGACACCAATTCCTGAAGCTCCTTCCCTGCCCAGCTCCATCCCCCATCATTCCTCTGCCTGCTGGGCACACTGACAGGGCACCTGTAGTACCTTTAGTGATGATAATAAATAATAACAACAAGTGTTACTACAGCAGCCTTACTGAATATTCATCATGTGATAGATACTATTCTAACCCATGCACGTAAATTAACTTCCTTTAATTTTTACAATAATTCCGCAAGAGGGTACCATCATGCTCTCCTTCTACCGATACAGGAACAGAGGCAAACAGAAAGTAAGACATTTGTCCAAGCTCACACTGCTATGAATGCAGAAGCCAGGATTTCCACCTGGGTCCACGTGGGTGCACTGCGCCACTAATTTCCTTTTAAGGGATGCCTTCTTCCCATGGAGTCTGGTCTGTTGAGACTGTTGGCCGTGACTCCATCTCTCATGGCCACAAGGAGAGCAACAGACCCAGGCGAGGCCACCTGAGTCTCCGTGTCCCGGGTACGCCTGCCCATCACCTCCAGCAGCAACGCCTTCCCTTTCCTACCCTTCTATGGCAAGCCTTTCCGGGCCCTTCAGCTTCCCTCCAACTCACCTGCAGGAACTCCCTGGAGGCAACTTCTGCCTTCCGGCCTCGTTCAGTCTGCAGGGGCTATTCGGTAAGAATATCCTCAAATCTTTTCCCCCAAGAAATGCATCCTTGCCTGAGAGCTGACCAATGTGCAAAGTGTGGTGCTAGACATCTTTAAACAACCCTCTGGGGAAAAAAAAAATCAGCATCCCATTTTGCAGATATGAAAACTGAGGCTGATCGTGAATACACATCTAGGAAATGGCAGGGTTGGGATGTGGACTCTGGCTCTGTCTCCAGGGCTCCTACTTCCCTGAGGTTTTTTTTTTTTTTTAATGTTTATTTTCGGAGAGAGAAATTCAGAGCATGAGCAGGGGAGGGGCAGAGACAGAGACAGAGAGAGAAAGAGAGAGAGAGAGAGACAGAATCCAAAGCATGCTCCAGGCTCCGGGCTGTCAGCACAAAGCCTGACGCAGGGCTCGAACCCACGAACCATGAGATCATAACCTGAGCCAAAGTCGGACGCCCAACCGACTGAGCCACCCAGGTGCCCCTAACCTCCCTGAATTCTTAAAGCAAAGGGGCCCCTCCTTTCCCTTGGCTCTGTTAGGCTCTCAGAGCCTCTCTCTTGGATTAACCCAACACCCTTCTGACATGTCTCTTCTTCAAACCCTCCCTGTGCTCAGCCAGAACGTGCAACTAAAAACAAAAATCTCATCTATGATTCCCTTGTTTAATATCCTCTAATGGCGCCCATAGAACAAACTCTAAGCTCATTAGCATACATGTGTATGGTGGCGGGGTCAGGGGTGTTCAGGGCTTCCCCCCGTCAACCGCCTATCTCCATCCCATCTGCAACCCAAGTCCGCAAGTCCCTCTACCCTCTTCCTGGCTCGGCCCCGGCTCTGCGCCTTTGTTTCTCACACAGCGCCTGGCATGTAGTGCTTGCTCCACAGAAGGGTGTCAGATGGAACCCTCCCTCCCCCAAGCAACCTTCAGTCAACTATCCCGCACCCCGAAGACTGAGGAGGCACAGGGAAAACACATGGGCCCCAGATCATGGCCAGGCTGGGGTGAGGGTTAAGTAAGACCGCAATGCGTGCTGTCACCAAACAGGACGCCCCCCTCCCCGGCCCTTCTCCTCCCCTGAGAAAGCAGCAGAAGGGAAAACAATAT